TTTTTTTTTTTTTTTTTTTTTTCAAAACAGCAATCATTTAGGTCCTAACAGTTACAAGAGCATCAGTCGAGTGAAGTAATCTGCCAATGCCTATGATCTAACAGTTAACCATGTTCGGGATCTTTTGTTTCAAGAAATACAATCCACCAGTGTCCTTCAAAATGCAACTAAAAATTAAACATTGATCTTTCCATGATGGTATTACAGCAGAGAAGTTTCATCACCGACCAGCGTACCTTTCAGTCGTCCTATTGGCAACTCCCGAAGCAAGCCACATCCAATAGTAACGTTTCAGCGGGTACAAAAGTGTCAGGACATCACGAATGGTATCGAAATAGTGAAGTGCATTATTTGTCAAGGTTAGAGAATCGACTCCATCTACAACCTCATGACATGGCTCATAGCCCTGGTATGCGAGCTCGAGGAGCGTGATCAAAGCAAATCCATATTTAGCTTCGCTAGCGGCGAGTATCACCTCAACTTCATCCACAAGCATATCGAAGTCATGGATGAAAGTTTGTACAGGAAAAAACTGACAAAAGAGGCGGTCCAGTGCTTCGCTAAACCTGGAGATCTCCACTAGAAGAGAGATGCGCCTGAGGTACAGTCATGGGCTTTCAAATATGGGATATTCCAAAATGTACTTAATGGCTTGTTCAAACTCCGCAAACGGCGAGGATTCGAATTTCTCCACAACATAGAATCTCTGATCCCAAACAGCCCTGCTAGTAGGGTCAGTTATAATGAGCTCATCACAGAGTTGAAGTTCCTCTTCCCATCTTCCCGTGCTTTCGATGGCCTTCCGTCTCTGAAGCCAGGCATAGAGATGTTCCCTGTCCTCGGCCAGCAATTTCCTTGTGTAAATAAGCTCTTCTTCAACAAAAGATTCATCCTTTTTAGCCTTTATCCATCTATCGTCCCAAAAGCTAGGGTTATTCTCATCATACGCTGCAGCTAGGAATCTGCTGCTGTTGGTATCCTGTTCAGATCCACTGATGAATCGACGCACCTCATCCGGTACATTAGAATTTACTCTCCAGAAACCATTAGTTAAGCCCAAAAAGTCATCAAATTTACAACCCTATTCAGGGCCGTGCCCCTTGGGCAAGCAAGACACTAAGAGCCCGACAATTTAATTAAAAATTGAATATAACAATTGGAGTATATAGTACTATTTATAAGAGATAACTTACCATGTATATTTAGTCAATAAAAAAAGCAGTACATTTAAGAAGGTGAAACAATAGTAAAATTTTGGATATTTCAAATAAAGCTATGCTTCAGTTCTTTTTAATAATCTGCCTTCGATTGAGCTTAGATGTTAAATTAATTATTATTTGAATTGGCCAATACATCTACTATACATGTATATATAGTATACTCATGGGCCCCTAGCCTCATGGGCCCTTAGGCGTCACACCAGCTGCCACCCCCCCTTAAGACGGGCCTGCCCCTATTTATCCTCGCCGAAATTGTAGAGGCAGGGCGCAAGACGGAGGTAATTGCGCCGACGACTGCAGTGTTATTGCTTTCCAAGACCACAGCCACGCCGATGGACGGCCGACTACTCCCAGTTATGCTCATTATGTGCCGCCGCCGCAAAAACAACTCCAGATTAAAACCCACCCGGCCACCCGCCCTATTATTATCTTCTTCTTAAAGAGAGAGAGGGATTAACTGTTAGGAGCATGCAGATGCAGGCGAGGGGAAAAACATAAAATGGCGACCTGATTTGAAGAGGGAACCAAATTCTTGAGGTGGCCGGATCTTAAGGGAACTAGGACCGGCTGATGAAAACTTCTCCAAACCACACGAGGAAAGAGAGGGATTTGGGCGGGTCTCTTGCAAACATATGGAAGATCGGGCCGGCTCCAACACAACTCTTTAAGGAAAGTAAATTATTGAGAAAACTAGTGTGTGGCCGTGTGATGCACGTTAAATAATATTACGATTGTGTTATAAATTAAATATATAAATAAATTAATCAAGATTTACCTATCGTTTTAATTAAACCGTGTTGGACACAATCCGACCTGATGAACCGAGAACCGGTTTATAATCAGTCTAGTTCACTTGAATAAAATATTTGCTATTGAATCCGTCAACACCAGTCGGTTGAAGTGGCAGGATCGGTATGATTTTCTAAATAAATTTTGTTATATTTAAAATTATTTTAAATAAAATTACATATTTAAATAAAATAAAGATTTATAAATTGTTTATCAATTAATTTAAACATTTAAATTTTTTATATTGTTTAGATATTTAAGTAACACATTTTAATCAAATTTATTACAAAAAGTACTATATATATGTATATTAAAGAGTATTTTTAAAGAAAAAAAAATCAAATTGGATGATTTTTATAAATTATATTGTATGATTAAATTGTATGATTATATTAAAGCGTATTTATAAATTAAGTTGTATGATTTTTTTTAAGAAAAATAATAAAACTATTATTTATAAGCTGCATTAAATGCTGACCTATTTTTTTGCTACTAATTTTAGTAAATAGGATGACTCTTTATAGAAATATAAATTACCTACTACACGTCTCTAAATCTCATTATAACCCACTAAAAGAATACAAATCTAATTTGAGTAATTAAGATTGGACTTTTAAATATAGTCCGAGGATGATAAGAGAGTACAATAATATTTTGTTAATTGACCGAAACATTATTTAAGTTATTGAACCAAGTGAGCTTCACCGATAGTTGGGCCCAATGACTTAAGAGGCCCACATCATCACCTCATTAGGGTTCCTGCTATAGCACTATAAATATACCATTACGCTCATGATTGAGAGAGAGAAAGAGAGAGATCTATACACGCAATTTGGTCGTCCCCCTTAGTTCCAATACGATCTTTATCTCCGAGTATGTTGCTCCACCGAGACAACCGGAAAGGTGTTGGGAAATATAGTAGAAGATCCCGAGGTTGACGAGCCTCCTGGCGATATTCACACGAGCCCCGACAATCCACCGTTAGCCGGCGTCCACAACCGTGAATGTCCAACCAGCTCTGGCGATCCACCGCCAGCGACCATGTGCCACAACGATCAGCCGAGACATGTCCCGGAGACCATCGTGCACGACCCATATGCAGCAGCCTGAGTTCATCGCGCGTCCACCCCGACCACTGCGACCAACGTGTTGTTGTCCTTGCTTATCCGAGAGCCAACATCCGTGACATGCTGTAACCGCACGACACCCCCTTTGACATCTCAAAAAAAAAAAAAAAGGAAAAACAAAGCACGACTATATGTGCTGATAAACAAAACCTAACATAAGAGAAATACAAAGCTGCTCCACAACACTACAACTTCAAGCTTCAACATTCTTTACTTAGATTTTCGATTAGATTCATGCTCGATAGCGACGTTCTTCATTGAACCCAATAGAGTTTGAGTTTCTTCTCAACTTTTGGCAGTGAACGCACTTTGTAAGAAGAGCCAAGAATGTCCATGTAGTGGATGTTGGCTTGTTGGGTGAAGCTAAGTGTCGCGGTTGAGGACCTTCATACAACAGACGACATCCTCGAACTTGGCCAAATACTTCTTCAAACATCGTGAGTGGACAATATATTTGTTCAAGGGCGGTGGAGCCTTTAGTCGAAGATTGCCTCATATGGAGACTATGCAACAACCTGACGTTGATGAGGTTCTTGGAGTGGATATCATGAACCTAATTACATAATATGTTTAAAAGAGACGGAGAAAATGAGTAACGTTAGTTGTTAATGAAAATTAAATCACGCGTATGATTGTAGATAATTTTCCCAAGCATAAGATATTTAACAAAGCATATCAATACGTAATAGCAAGGTACTGATTTGGTAATATCAGGTAAATTTTGAGTACCCTAATAGCAAATTTGAATCTTAACCAATTGTTCAAATGACAATAAAATTAAAAGTTAATTATTTATATATAAAAAAAAAATTCACAAATTTAGACAATATTATTATTTTATCCTGCGACCAAACCTTGAACAAACATATGTCCACAATAATACATAATTATTGTGATTTAATGGGGATATATAATGAAGTGGGGTGGGTATTATTAAGAAAAAAAAAAAAAAGATTGAAAAACAAAAAAGAAACAATAGTGAAGACGCAAAGGAAAGAAAGGAACCCGTTACCAGTAAAGCCAAAGCGAGGTGGGTCCCATCGCCCCCAACCCACATTCAAATGGACTTTTGTATTTAAAGCTGTTACAAGGTCAACTCTCCCTACCTCACTGTCTGAGTCTGACACCCAAATTCCGAATTTGCCCCTTTCTCCAATCCAACGGCTCATCGCCCTGCTTTTGACTTTTGCAGAACCCATTTTCGATCATCAATTCCACTACCGGTTCGCCGGTCCCCACCACCCTCCTTTTAAAACCCGGTCAATGCTCTTCTCTCTCCTTTGAATGCAACGTGGAGCGATATCATTGGCTCTCCTTAAGGTCAGAGAGAGAAAGTCCATTATTCCTTTGACTCTCCCTCTCTCTCCTCTCCGCCTATTTTTATCCTCATTTCAACTTATTATTTTCTCAGATCTCTATCTCTCTCTCGTTTAATGCTTTGTAAGCGATGGCGGTCGAGTTGATGCCTGGATACAATCTCACGTCTAAAATGGAAGTGAGCGCCGCCCAGGAGGCTGCCGCCGCCGGCCTCCAGAGCGTCGAGAA